AGCGTACTTTTGGGGCATTCCTTTAGGAAGAGGGAAACCCATCTGAGCTCCGTGATAAACTGAGTCGACGGCTCCTTTGAGGTCAGTGCTATTCGATTACAATCAAAAATATTCATGAAATACTAGTAAAGATGAACTTACTGGATAATAAAGAGAAGAGAAATAGGTAATGTAACCACCTGTTTCTGAGTCACTTCCTCCTAGATATGTTAAAAACTTGTAATGGTACGAGGCAGTTGGACATCAGATTATTTGGATTGATGAAATCAACTTCAACCTACATTGTATTGTTCCTGCAATGGTTGCAAATGCCAGTTGATCAATTATTGCAAGAAGAGCACAAATCATATGTGATTGTGTGTTGCAATGCACCCCGTCATTCTAAACTGGAAACCGTCGTTGCTGGGGGAAGAGTGAACATTCTCAGATTCACTCCATATTCTCCAGCCTTGAATCCGATCGAAATGATATTGAGCATTACGAAAAGTTACATCAGAACGGAGCTCCGAAATCAGTATGCCAAAGTTATGGCGGGTGATCCCGAAGGACAAATGAACCAACAGGACTGGAGGACGGCATGTTTGGAAAGCATTGCTAGTAATGCCAAGTCTCATATGACGAAGGATCATTTTCAGGACGCAACTAACCATGTTCGTGTACATTATCCGGTAGCTATCAAAATGCTTGATTTTTAATACATTTGGTTTTTTGCTTGATCGATGAACGTTTTTGTGCATGGGAGATACAAGGCGGGAAATTCTACCATTATTGAAGTCGATAGGCCGGGTGCATTAGATAGTTCGTCGAATTTAAGACACATTTATAATTACAGTATATTGGTTATCCACTTTGCGTTTGTCAATAATTTAATACAGAACCAGTTCCTCGGTAGGCAGTGTTTTCCAGGGCACGTGGTGGTTAAAGAAAAATCGAGGCAGGAAGTTCATGCATCGTTACAATCGGACGATCATGTAAAACCAGTAGACTATATTGGGTAGGTCGACATTTTGCTTATCGCTAGGGTATACATGGTACAAAATTTCAACTGTTGGGGTCGATTACAATTTGGACAAAATAATCAAGGGGAGAAACTAAATGCCGTAGTCACCCCCATCATCTTATCCATTCGAAGTATCCTGTCAAGTGTGCACTTCAATGTCAGAAATACGTAAGCAATCACATTTGATTCAAATGAATCGGTTTTATTCGAGAGAAATTCGGCCACAATGGAATTTACTCATTGGGTTATTGAGGGCTTAGACTGACCCCTCCTCATGCAATGAATGAATCATGCTCACATTCACGTCTGGGCATGGTGTCCGACTTATCGATCCATCTTGACGTGATTCGCTTCCTCACCCGACCGACAGAGTTCAATTAACTCTGGGTTCGTTCATTCGTATCTATGACGCACATTCGATCAGCGATCACGAACATAACGTTCCCGGGTTCGATGGGTGTATGTAGGGGGCGGGGTGAGAACAGCCTACTTCAACCCTCCCCCTCCCCTCCCTCCGAAACCTTCAACTTCGCTCGGTAACTCACTAAAAATGTACTTTTGTTTGTTTACGAGGAAGTGAGTTCATTCGGACTGGACGAGGTTTAGACAGACCCGGTTCAATGGGTGACGTTTACCTGCCGAAATATCAATAATTTTGTGGGGTTTCCAATGAAGTGCGATTGGTTGGATTCACTTGAAGTTACAACGGATTCACTTGAGGTTGAAAAGGTATAGAGCTGTATCTTGCTTCCAAATCGTCCACTGATTCAGAATGTGGGGAACTAATCCGTCCATTATACATTCATGATTTTTGTGCGAGGAACCACAATTAGAGATCATCCGTAGGATTTTCACTCTGAGGCAGATATAAACCCATTTCTTTGTGAGAAACTGAAAAGCATGTTTATTTTAGATCGCCTTGTATCACGTCAGATTCGAAACAAGGTATTTTACACTATCTGCCGACGTCACCCAAACTATTTGAGTCGTCGTTTGGAAAATAGCTGAGTTTTTCATGTTGCGAGTCAGACCGGAATTTGGCTGTTTGAAGACGCGGGTGCAGCTGGAAGAACTGTTGTGGAATGAATGCATGATCAAATCGTGCATTATTAGCTATCATTTCTGACTTTAGGAATATTTTTTTTCGTTTTTATACCTACTCGTTAGTAGTGGCGTGGTGTGGTGTGGTATGGTGTGATCATTGTCGATGTTGATTGACAGCAGCATAAGTTCCACCTGTGCACGAAATTCTCAGCGCATTCAGTCAACCCCAAATCTCGCTTAATTCGCAACGCATCAGTAGTGCATGTCCATCTACTCACCTGGGAGTATAGAGCTTCAAACCGTCCGCATGAAATGCGAATCGGGCTTTTCATTACGCAACCGTCGACTGTGTTTCACTTTCCGTCCTCATACGTACCCATCCGGAAGCATCGAAGAAATATTGGTTTTATATATTCCAAACGTCTTTGCTTATTTTAGGTTCCGACTCCATCATCTGGGGTTTATGAATGCCTATCACAGTAAAAGATAGTCAAACCATACAATGAGGGGATATATAATCCCACTGATCGATCACTATTTTCTTACCGATATTGCGAAAAATGACGGTGTAGTCTACAGTGACGAGGGATCAGCAAAACGGTCCGCACATCGCAACTCATCCAGATGGCTGAATCGGTGCTTTCAAGAAATGGTTTTATCAATTCCGGTGGCCAGATGAATAGAACCCAGATATCCGTCTCCACACTGACTAATAGTGAATACATCAAATGGGTCGGCTGGCATTCCATACCGACCCACCGCATATCTCAAGGTTATTGTTTGGTTCAACCGGCATCATGACACAATCCACGGTTTTTTTCAACTGGCGTTACTTTCACTCAAACTATATTTGAATCTCCGGTCACAACCGAATGTTGTAAGATACTAGGTGAACCGGGTGGACACTTGACGGTGAAAATGAAACAGAGTTACAGTGCTCGAATGCAGTCTGTCCGGGTTGCTTCACGCAATATCATTCGTTTGCGGCGAGGTGCTAAAGCCATGTCTCAATGATAATAATTGTCAGATATATCCGGTGTCTAAGAGAAGGTTGACCAACATGCCAAGCGCCAAGAAGGCGGAGTCGATATGAGCACGATTTTACTGGCATCCGATGAATGCGATTGCAAATTAACAGTTCCATCCCAGTCACAGGGACAGACCTCAATTCGTGGCGTTCCCACTGGGATTTCACCGAACAGTCAATCCATCAAATCTGATACGGGTAACGGCTACTACATCTTTTCAACTCCAAGTGAATCCGTTGTAACTTCAAGGGAATGCAACCAATTGCACCAACGAATTCCTTTGGGTACCCTAGAAGATTATTGGTGTTTCGGTTATCAAACGTTACCGATTGGACTGGGTCTGTCTAAACCCTGTCCAGTCCCAATGAACTAATTTCTCCGTAAGCAAACTAAAGCACTGTTTGAGTGAGTTACCGAGAGAGGATGAATGTTTCGGTGGGGTGAGATGGGGCATTCACACCCATCCCCCTCCCCCCCTTGCAGCGAACGTTGTGTTATAAGTCCACAAAGGCGGTGTCCGGTCGAGAGTGGGTGTTTCCTCTTCAGAGTACAGTTACGATATGGACAATTTGGCCCACACATAACAAGATACCTCAATTTGAACATGCCACCACAGTTTCTGGCAGCGCAAAGGATAGTGGATCGAACAGTCCGCAATTATTATTTTGAGCACAACACGTTGCTCCAAGTTGTCATGTTCATTTTTTCTTGTTGAGAAAAACCCACCAATCGCATTATTTTGGATACTACCAACAAATGTGAGTAGTGGATTACACTACAGCTGTCTTGTAATGTTGTGTTGTACATATTGAGAGGTTTTCTTTAAAACAATAGTAACGAGCATTACAGTAGTTGTTTCAATTTCACACTCTAAAAGTGTTACACAAGAAAACAATCAACGTGTTCCTACATGTTTATGACTGATCAAAGTCTGATATGGGATGTAGAATGATGAAGGATGAACCGCGGCACGCTAAGTGACCTTTGGAAAAAGAGCAAATAAATTTCGTTTAAAGGCAAAGTGTTTATCAGTGATTCAACTAAGAAGGAAGCAGAAATTAAAACATTTCACAAAAATAAGAAGCAAACGGCAGATATAACATGCTAATGTGCATGTGTTTGATCAATAGTTACGCTTTCGATTCCCATGGAACGTATTCCTGAGAAATGAATCTGTTGACTGTTGATGACCGTTTTTCTACCGGTTAGATAACATCTATCCTTCGAATAAGAATATTCCAGTCCGGACGACGAAATCGTCGTGCCGCCTCCGGGCTCAAAGCTTGCTCGCTTGCTGGCATCAGCGATTCCACGAACAGCGTGTGAATGCACTTGCGATGTTCAGGTTTGTAGTAGAATGTGCGACACATGGCATGTAAATGGCACCTAGACAAGTGGGTGGGAGGGGGGAGGGAAGGAAGGAAGCCACATGAAATGGTGCACAATAAAAAAGAGCAGATACATTATAATACAACGTACAACCATAAAACTCATCGATCTGACACAACAAGTGACCTACACCACCAATTTTCTCACTGATGAAGATCAAGGTTGTTCTCGTATTTGCACTGGAACGGCATTTCGGAACAAATGAAAAAAGAATGTATTTGTTTGTTCGCCGATTTTGGCAATTTGTTTGCAAACGCTTCCTCATCAGCCGAGGTGACATCGTCTGTGCTCATGGAGTGACAGTATCTTACTTCTACCGGATCACGCGTATACGGCGATGCAACTGCTCAAGGATCAGACGATGCAACGAAATGGTAACGACGTGGCCTTAGAATGGAACAAAAACGGCAATCAAGACGGAAGACCAATCCCCTTCCTACTATCCCGTAGAGCTAAATCAACGGCGAATCTTGTCGAACACCATGAGACAAAGATAGCCACTGGAGAAAAACATGCATAAGCGAACGGATACAAGCAGACCACTGCCACTTCAAAAGCATTGACAATATCACCTCGGCTGGTGATGAAGTGTTTACGAACCAAGTGAGAAGCTCGGGGGGAACAGGTGAGTTGGAAGTCAGTTCACCCCAGCTACGGGAACCGATTTTCAATACTTCATCAATTATTCCTTTGTGAAGATTAATTGAAAATATATTAGCCAACACTGCAGTTTAATCAATCACCCATCAAAATCCGGTAATGCGACTAATTTTTCTTTTTTACTCGGCCCTTGTGATTTTCATGGGTTTCCCANACCTGCAGTTGGATATGTGTACAGGTATTGATCAAAATCGTGCAACACCCTGACACTTTCATCACATTTGTTCCTCCCGAACGCTTAGTGTTCCGAGCCTGGCATTCAGGCGACTGAATATGACATTAACTCACATCAGACGCAAAACGTATATGTAAGAATATCCACTTATGTTTTTTTGCTTCTGTTAGTTGAATGCCATTCAAATGTAGGGTTTCTTGAGTTGGACAACGGTTGTAGTAGAATCAAGAAGCCTCAATGAGAAACATCATCAGAATGTAGATATTAAAATGACTCTGTATT